CTAAGTTGCTAACTGGTTAGCAAAATGTTTCCGATAAACCGGCCACAAACAAACATGCTTGCGACCCTTCAGCTACAACAATACCGCCCCCTTGATAATCAACCAAACACATTGACTTTATTCACTAGTGTAAAGTCGTGCACCACTCGGGAGAATTCGGAAATGCAATGGTTGGAACAGCCGCTTCCCGACAACTTTAAATGGAGAGGGTGTGTCTTTTAAAATCTCCTCAATACCTTAAAGTTGTTTGTTTTTTTTTATTCTGCAGCCTCCAGTTCATTATACTTTACTTTTTTAGAACAATTTAGTTTTATGACCTGTCCTACATATTCTTGATGGACCTGATTTAGTTTAGTCTTTTTGCTCTCATTGCTGTTCAGTCACACCAGCTGGGGGGGTTATTCATGGCTTGAGGATGACTTGCCTTGGTAGCATTTTACTTCAATGCCCCAACCCCAAAAAACCCACAAAACTCTGTCGCTTTGATTTACATCATCTGATGCTGGCAGCTTGTTATTGCCTCAATGGCAGGAGCCCTCCTGACAACAGCTAACCATGACTGGGCATAAAATCTAAAGTGCTTCAAAGACAATACCACAGTCACTCAAAAAAAAAAAAAAAACATTTTAATAAAATGGTATTGCAAGTATTGCAAAAAGATGAAAATTATTTTTGGGGGGAGTTTTTAAACCACAGAAAAAGTCCCAGAGCATGGATTAAATATGTCTGTGGCCTTCCCCTGCTCTTCTTCTCTGCCTTTTCTGACTGTTGGTATTTGGTTTATGCATTTATGAACCCACAAAAGAAACAAATGTGCAAATTCTTAATTTTTCTATAAGCTTTTAAATATTTCCTATGCCGAAAGGGTCAAAAGAGGTAGGAGCCAAACCAGAACAGATTGAAGCAGAAAGAGGCTCTACCATGCAAACTTATATGTGCTACTAGTGGTGTAATGAAGCTTAACCCCTTGAGCCTGGCGGCACCGGTACAGGGCCAACTGACAACTGTTTATCTATTTATAGAAATGGCCAAAAAACACTCACATGGTGTTACATCCACACACCTTTCAAATCTCTCAGACATGTTTCAAAATTATTTTTTCACAAGTGCTTTTTGTTTTATAGCTGTGCAAACAAACACAAATCAGATTTCAAATTCCACCTGACATGTAACTCTGCTGGAGTAATGCAAAGGCAGGTCTTCATTTTTAGCCACACCCCCATTGGAAACTAGAGGGTAAGACCTTTCAAAGGAGGGGTCGGAGGTAATTGTGCAACCATTTCAGGTGATGTAACTGGAATGCATTATGTAAGCTTGCTCTATTATTCTGTTATTCGGTTTGGTGAATAACAGAAACAACAGCTAAATCTTAGGAGCAAAGGCTTTGTCGTATGCAGAAGGTCTCCAATAATGTAAATCAGCATATTTGTCTGATCAGATTCCCTTTAGGAGTTGAAAAACGCATTTTTGCACTTTTAGGCATTGTGCCAAAATCTCATTTCTGCCCAGGACACTGCCCACTAAAACCGTTGGGGAGCAAACATCCTTCAACTTATTCGGTCCAAGTTTGCTTGAGTTATAGTCAAGATGTAGATCTATAAAGTCTGAGGGTTCACCCAGAGTTTCAAATGGGCTTTCATGGTGTTTTACAGTGTTTATTTTGGAATAAAATTTGGCGAGGCTAAATATTGTTCTTTTTTCTTTGTTTCTTCATCTATAAATCAGACTTTGTGACATTTAAAATAGTGGTTCCACCTGAAAATTATTCCCAATGCCTTTCTGTCACACAAATACAAACAATTGTATTTCCTATTTATATTTTGGGAGCTGTACTTGCTTTAATTGACATATGTAATTTCAGGCAGAATTTTCTCCTAAGACCCTAAGGGATTAAGGGGTTAAAGCACACACCTTAAAGTCTGGACTCTGTATTGAAAGCTTGCTTTTCTATCAGTAGAAGAATCACATGTTTACAGCATCTGCGTTGGGGATTATCAGACGTTTTCCTAAGGAATGTTGTGTTTTAATTCTCTTGGATCAAGATTCATTTTAATTTGTTCCTACTGCAGATGTTGAGGCACTAACATCATTTACTTTCTTTAAACAGGTAAGGAGACAAGACCAAAAGGGCACCAACCAAGCTCCATCAGCAGGTGCGGATTGTTCATCTCGCCACAGTGGGACTGGACAAGACAGCGGCTTTGGCAGCGACAGCGCCCGCATTCGCATCGTCCAAATAGAGCAGCAAAGCGGGACCAGTCATCATTGCATCGCCAGGCCGTCTCGCAAATCAACCATCACTAAAAACCTCACCTTCATCCCTTTTGACATCTTTCTTACTGCCAGTAAACTATCTGTAATGACTTATCATTGTTCGAGTACGCCTAAATCTCTCCTTATATCGTCTGATGCACCCTCTACACCAGAGAAGAAAGACCCTGAGGATAAGGTAAAGAGATTAATTAGGGTGTAAATAAAATTTAATATCATTTCAGAAGCACGAAGCATTACTAACTGATCATGATCTGTGCTGTTTAGGTGGGGAAGAGCCTCCTAAATCATCCTGAGATCATGTCGGACTCTCCCTCAGCTTCCCCAACTCCTGAACAAATCCCTGCTGCCCAGGATTCCCTTGCTGGGCTGACCGCAGACGACATCCTCAACAGCAACACCTCCCAGCCACCTTCTCCACTAATTAAAGGAAGCTTGCTTTCACTTGATGGTCTCCCCACTCCCACCCGCTCCTCAGCACGCCAAGCCCTAGGCCTTACCATAGTGAGGCAGCCCGGGAGAAGAGGGACAGGTGATCAGGTGTTAGAGCCACTGTTATTCCTCCAACTTATGCAGCCTTCAGTTCTACTTAGCTGCCATCACCGAAAGCAAAAGATGGAGCTTTCTGTGTTTGACGTGTCCCTGAGAGGAGTGCCTTCTGACTACAAGTGCCTAGGTGAGACAGTTTTCCTTATAATAATATTCTGTGCAAGATCTTGTTTTTAAGGGTAGAGACACATCTGTTAGAATATTCCACCTAAGCTTTTTTTTTGTAAAGCCTTCAAATATTTAGATTGCTTTTCAAACATAACAGCAGCAGTGAATTATTATTTAAATAAAAGATTCAAAAGAATTCGCTGTGATGAGTTTTAATATGACTTTAGCAATTTACGCCAGAGTTTAAAGGGGCTAGTATGGATCTAAGTTAATTCGCTAGAGCAGAGGTCACTGATTAGCGAACCAGGGTCCGGATCAGGACCCACCTGCTGGCTAATCTGGACCCAACCTGATTTAAAACATATATAAATTACAGCATGTTGTCCAATGACAGTGTCAAACTTCACTTGCGCCGCTTCTCCTTTTAATATGGTAAAGCCATACCGAGCTTCAATGAGCTGTCACACTGGGTTACTGCTGCTGCTACTTTTAGACACAGCAGGCAAACCTGTGGCAAGCCGGGCGATGAGAAAGAAGGAGAAGATGATGAGAAAAAGAGAGCAGAGAAAGTGCGGACTGTTGTAAGAACTGCGGTGAACTGGTGAAAGAAAAGTGAAACGGCGTGCTCAAAGATGACTAAGCGTCTGTCCTGTTTAAATCGAGTCTCAATGGAAATCCAGCACTGGGCGAGATGAGCTGACATAAACTGCCGCAGCGCCATCTGTTGGCAATACCGCAGAACTATCAAGAAGCCAGATGGTGACTACTAAATAGAGTCTAACTGTTCCACAGTGCTATAAAGTAGTAGTAGTGGGGGGCGACTCCATTTGCAAGGGTTATGCAAGTGATCAAAAATGGTAATTGCCTTATAAATGGTTAGCTCGCTTACATGAACGCCTCTGCAGCTTCTGCTTCAGTGAAGACCAGCCATCATAATGTTTTCCCAGCTCTGTTGGACTCTCATCGCTCTGGGAATGAAATATAATTTTTTAACGCTGGATATTGTACTTTTCTTTATTACTTCCAAACTTCCCTGGGAGGTGATAACTTGCTAAGCTGCTGTAGGCTACTTCCTTATTTCCTGACATATAGAGTTTTTTTTTTACCTCCTTTGTTATTGTAAATATTCATAAAAGTCTTTATTTATTAACAAACTGAGCAAACATTAAGCTTGAAAGACTGAAATAAATAATATTCTATTAAATTCAGTTTATTTATATAGCGCCAATTCACAACACGTCATTCCAAGGCACTTTACTGTTAGCTAAAAGCTAACTTTGAGTCTTCAGCTCAGAAACAGCATCCACACTACGCTGCTGTTGTCAGCCTTGTATAACTCCACTATCCTGTTTTTCTGTTTGGAAAAACGACTGGAGTTTTGGATTTTCTGATCTAACTTTCCTTCTAAAGGGACCATAAATCTGAACATTTCTGGTCATCAGCAGTTTTATTGTTGTTTATCTATTACAAAATTATTTTTTCACTCAGAGTCCCTTTTTTGTCTATGTCCTTGTTGTTCAGACCCAGGAAAGACTCTTCCAGAAACTCTGGACTACAACGTGCCCTGGCTGCAGACAGTGGCAGCGGAGGTCGACAGTAGAACAGGCGTCCCTCCTCCTCTGCTTTGCTTCCAGATCAAAGATTTCCTCAATGGACCAGGTGAGATTTACACACACTTCACATTCTGCACTGTCCTCTCACCCGGCCGCAACAAACCCTGTGCTGAATATGAGCTTTAAACTGTGTAATAATATTATTCCTTCATCAAAATCATGCCTTAGGGGGTACTTTGCTTGAGTTATGCATGTGTGAATAGACATTTCCACCAATTTTTTTATATGCGCATTTTGAAGTATCACATTAGAAAACCTTGTTGGAAATGGCAGAATTCAAATAACATGACTACATTTCCCAATAAAGAGCACTAGAGAGGTGATAGAAACATTTGTCAAATAAGTTCTGCCAAACATTTACCTCACATGACTGATCAGCTGTTTCAGCTGCCGCATTAGAATCACACTTTCTCTCTCTGGACGTCTCTAAAAGGCATGAAACGTAGATAATACTGGCAGACATGATAAAGTAACTAAAACTCGCTTAGATCCACCACGTTCATTGAAAACCTCCGTCCAATACTGATCTTTGGTCTGCGCTAACATGCTACCTCTACTTCCTGTTTATTACAGCCAATTGTAATCTAAACGTATGACAACATGATGCTCTGCATCTATCAGTTCACCCCAATAGATGGAAACTTGTCTAATTCATGTTTTCTTATTTTTCAACATTTTAAAGGTTCACTTAGAATCTTGCATGACTTTCGGTGGCAAACATGGCTAGTAATGCTCATGAAGTCTGATGTCTGAGAAGCAGCCTCTTCAGTTCAGTTCAGCTTATTTATATATGGCTCCAGTTCACAGCATACGTCATCTCAAGGCTTAGCCTTCTGCTCCAGGCCGACTGGGGTTCAAGGAGTAAGAAGATTAAGTTGACCCTCTCCATTCCAGGAAGCACTGGCCTTGCCCACACTACGCCTGCACATTAAACATCACGCCCTGATCATTTGATGATCATGTGAGGCAGAATACATTTATTTCTGCTTAAATTGAGAGGAAGTGGCTCATTTAAAAGCTAATCTGCACTGTGACAGCAACTGATCCTTCTATAGCTAGTGTCTCAGGGCCTGATAAACTAATGTACCAAAGAAGGGGTGCTAAACTGAATGTGTAATTTATCTAACGTGCTATAAGTTAGCAAGTAATGTATGATCTACAAAAGTTGCCTTACAAATGTTAAGATGTGGAAATCGTAAGCCTCTCTTATTAAGGCCCTTTTTAAATGGTAGTAAAGAGAATAATTAATATTGTCATGATGTTACAAAGTTCAGACCCGAATGCAGAAAACTGAACAGAGAAACCAGGGAAAAGGTTTAACGGGTTTTATTGAAGGAGTTTAGCAGAGGGAGAAGTGTTGCTCTGAACACTGCTCAACCGGAACTGTAAAGTGAGGGGAAGACACAGCGGTTAGTTCAGGCTTAGTGAGGTTTCCAGAGAAGTTGTTGAATCCTTGACTCCTGTCTTTGTGCCGTGGTTCCAGAATTTGTCTGATTCGGTGGAGGGCGGAACAGGGTTTACCATGAATGCGGTTGAAAGTAGGTGAACGGAGAAACTGACTGCCACTCAGATTTCCTGCGGTACTTGAATGGGTCGTAGTGGAGAATATCCCTTTCTCAGTGTGAAGCTCAAACGATCTTTTGGGGAAAGTGGATCCAAACCTCCTGTTTGAAACCCAGCTCAGTTTGAAGCTCAGTTGATCCTTCCAGGGAGAGAAGGTCTGAGAAATCCAGTTTGCAGGATGACTTCCTGCCGAGAAGCAAAGAGCAAAAACAAAGTTAAACTCAGGTTGACAAACAGCTCAGCTTGACTCAGCAAAAAACTCAGCTTGGCTAGAGTACCCTAAACTGGCAAACACTCCGTTTAACGAGGAAACCATCAGCAGGTGTGCAAGGAGGCAGACCAGAACCAGGCGCCTCCTGGTGGAGGAAGGGAGGCAAACAGAGAAACACAAAACCAGGAGTCCTGACAAATATTACTAAACAAATAAATACCTCATAATATCAAAGCCAACATTTCATCATATAAATTCCTATAGATGACCTTGAAAGGCTCAAAAAGCAGGATATAGAAGCTTAAAGTATGGTTATGCTTCCATGATTGTTTTGGCAAATAAATCAAAGATAACAGGGTTTTAATATAGATGGATATTTATATATATATAGTTATTGCACAGGGTATCAAATAGTAATTTTACATTATACATTGCACAAGTTATTGCGGTTGTAGTGTTGCATTGTGGATACTGGTTGCAGCAGGGATAAATGACCTGCGGTAGCGCTCCTTTTTACCAAAAGGGTTTCAAAGTCTTTCACTGAAGGAGCTGCTCAGCTCCTCTACAGTCTGGTGCAGATGGTGAGAGGTGTTGTCCATGATGGATGTGAGCTTGGAGAGCACCCTCCTCTGAGCCACTTCCTCCATTGAGTCCAGAGTGTAGCCTTGGACAGAAACGTCCTTTCTTACCAGTTTGTTCAGTTTCTTTCTGTCCCGCTCTGAGCTTCCAGGGGCTCAGCAGACAACAGCATAGAGGAGGGCTGATGCCACCACAGAGTCATACAAGGTTTTAGGCAGGGGCTTGCTCACTCCGAGGGATCTCACCCGTGAACACCCGTTGTCCAGGTTGCAACCTGGACATGTCCTGCTCCTGGA